TCGTGAAGTGTCACGTCTTCGGGGTTTTTCATTAAACGCAATTCTGTTTCAATTTGTCGTTTGATATTTGTCTCAATGGACGACATATTGGTCTGCAATAGAGTCATGGCTTTCGACAACTGATCCAACTGTTGCTGAATCGCCACATATGGATGCGGTTTACGTTTGGTCTCGAAAATGATTGGTTCAATGAAACGCTTGTATAAGACAAACGCCCCATAAATAAAGCCCCCGAAGAGAGCGACAGTCGACACGAAGTGAGTGCTTCTGACCAGAAACGAGGGCATCGGCTGAATGGGTGGTCCGCCGACTGGCATCGCATTGGTCTGAATGACGGGCGAGAGCTGAGTGTGGCTGTGATGGACACGTGTGGACCTATCAATGGCCGCATCGATCTCTTCTAGACTCAGGCCTTTCCTCAGAAGGAAAGTCCGCTTTTGATGCAAAGGGCTGTCGATTACCCGCGGATTCAATAGGAAATTGACGGCCGTTTTCACCATATCTTCGCGAATCACTTCCCGATTGATGGGAACCGATGGCTTTGCCTGCGCTCGTGTCTCCTCGTCGGCCGCGTCTTCTTCTTTGGTCTCATTTGATCCATCGGTGGACGCGTTGTTTGTCTGCGGGAAAGAGAGTAAGTGTTAGGAAAGCAAACAAACTATAAATGCAATCAAAATGTCACACATTTTCACTCATTTCGTATTGAAATCAACGAAAAACACAAATCAATGCAAAAATTGCGGACAAATGACAGATATTTTGGGATTTTCTTAACATTCAGTCAAATGAGTTGTTATTACACAATATATACAACAAATCATAGATTATATGCCATTATATGTATATATCGTACGAATTGTTGACACTTTTTTACTACATGAGATGTTAGTGTCGACCAAAACAATCCAAATGAGTGCTAAAAGGGCTTAAATGAAAGCCATTTTAAACGTGAAACGAGCCCTTTATAACACTTGTATAGAGATGGAGTGATTGGGCTGTGAGAGTACAGTGTGTCTGCAATAGTGGCGCACAAAATGCAGACAAACGCAACGTTATTGAAGGCCAATATGTTAGCGCATCGTTGCGCGACTTACGCGCCTATACTGTACTATTCGGATGAGACTGTATGGCAATGTGAGACTGCAGTGTATGACTGATCTCATATTGCTTCACATGTGATGGTGTGAGTCGTGGATGACTTGAATGCAGACATAATGGTAGGGATGAGAGGCTGGGAGACTGTGTGATGGCTGTGACGGCCATTTGCCATAACATACCCCCACATCACAGCCTCACAGCCCATCACATCCCCATCACAGCCACTGCAACGCCAGTACACACTCTACAACTCTATACACACTTTGGCATCAATTATGAGCTGAATATGAGTTGACTCTAACTTTAACTCTAAACACATCTAAACCTAAACCCTATTCTCTATTTGCTAGCAATGAATGCAATGCTTCGCCAAATAAATGCATTAAAATGTGATTCAAATCAAACTAATTGTATTCAATTCACACTATATTTATGCTAATTATCGCTCACTTTATGTGCAAATAGCTATTCAAATGCATTTACTATTTGCTGCAAAATGTATCAATTGTTTGCATTAATAAATTCATTAATAAATTGTTTATTAGATAATTAAATGAATTTTTGAGACTAAAAATGATTTTAATATTTATCAAAACTGATTAATATTTACATTAATTAGTTATTATATAAATTTAGTGCTAAGTAAGTGATGATAAATGAAATTTTGTAATGTATTAAAAATCTATTATTGTTTTGTTGAAGATATTTGTGAATTAATTGTTGAGAAGTGATGAACGCATTGGAAGTGAATTGTTATGAGTTTTATCATTCATTCATATAATGACAACTTCTGTAAGCATTCTTCCTATCATTTCATTGTATTTGCCATTAATTCTTGCATTTATAATACAATTCTGTATTAATTCCCTTATATTCTATATTTTATTGTATTTATTCTAAACCAATACAACGATCATTATTTTGACACCATTTCTACCCTTTCTACACAATATTTTGTTATTAATTACTTTTCATTTAATCTTATAATCAATACATGATTAAAATTGTGAATATTGTTATTTGTTGCAAATTGTGTTCATTTATCGATAATATTTAAGACTTCAAAATAAGTCAATAATAAGTACTCAATCATATGAAGGAAGCAGAAAGTGTTGTGTTATAGTTGTCAGTGGAGTATAACATTAGTTCCAAAGACATCAGTCGCCAAAAATAAACTTAAAACTCAAAAATTAATATTTTAAAAAATTGTTATTAGCTTAATCATTACAATTGAATGTGATTTAGATTAATTGATATACTGTATATGTATCGAGGTGATGTCTTTCGAGCTAATATCCCGTTTGCCATATATTATATCAACATTTTTCATCGATCTTTAGATTAAAGGAAACCAATAATCAATTTTTATATTATTTTGTATTTTTAAAAACAGCAGTAAAAGTAAAATTAATTGATATCAAAATAACATTTTAAAAACAAATTATAATATATCACATTTTTATTACAAATATTTGAATATTGTTTATAAAAAATTATTAGCTAAACACTTTTCTTGTTTTTATTTAGCCCTTTATTATTTAAAAACTTGTTAAATGTATAAAATTAATTAATTCTATTATAATGTACTTTTAATTAATAAATAAATGCATTAATAAAATGATACCCAATGTTGTGGAACAGCCGGGACTTCAACGCCCGTATAAGATCTGGTCGTGCAATAGAGAGGTCCGCAAATCAGTTGTCGCGCAATCACTTCTTGAGTTCAAAGTCCGCGGCGCAGAGAAGTTAGGCTACGATAACGTCTCTTCACTGCGAGTGGTCTTAGAATCAGATGGAACTGAAGTGGAAGACGACACTTACTTCCAGACCGCAGAAAAAGATACCATATTTCTATTGCTCCGATCAGATGAGCGTTGGTTACCTCCAGGTGTCGAAGCACTCAAAGCCGGTTTGTCTCACTTTATATCACTTTACATGTATTGATGGCATGTTTTAGCACTGAATTTAGTTAATTATTGCTATTTTTATTGGATATATACTTGTATGCAATGCATGTATAATCGCCTTTGATTTGAAAATTAATTGTTTAAGTTATTAAATATATTTAAATATTTTAGGTTAAAATTTAATTTTTAGAATTATCTGCAGATATAATGTATAATTAAATTTAGGCAAACTGATAATTGTACAAATAGTTTATATTATTTTTATCTAAATTACCTAAAATCTAATTGTTTTAAATTTAATTGTTATATATCTTTATACTTTGAACAATAATTTAGTAATAATGTTGAATATTATTGAGTAATATTGTTGATTGCTTTTAAAATTATTATTTTGCCTAGATGTTGCCAAATATTTAATATTGTTGATTAGAAAAGTCATTTTTCAAATTCATTGTAATTAGTTTATGTAAATAATGTTTTAAAACTTCATATGATTATTAATATTAATGATAAAAGTCTGGCTTAATATTTATATTTAAAATCAATACTAATGTTGTGTAAACTTTCTTCTCTCCCATTATTCTGTATATTCCATGCATTAAAAGTGATTTTTATTATCATTGATAATAAAAACAATTTCCTTTTGTTTTATTTGTGTTGTTTTTTTAAATTTCACTTTAAATGCTAGAAAGTAAGATAAATGAACTTGGTAATATTTAGATTTTTATTCATATACAATATGTAGGTGTGCTTTAAATATTGAAATAAATTAGATTCAAAACATGATTTAAATGTTGTTTGATTTGATTGACAGCAATAAACGCAATCCCAAAGATAGTATGCGATGCCCTGAAGACCCTGGAACTGGTCAACTGTCCGCCCACATGGAGTATCAAAGACGAAAAGGGAAACGTAACGGTTGTCCTCAATTGGGATCAAAAAGATCGATACCGAAAGGTCGGACACTATGCGGAGCCCTCGTCCTGGAGGGTGGAAGTGCTCACTTCGCAACCATCTGATGCTCAATACTCATCAACAGCACCCCTCAGCTCAACTGCCAGCACCAGTCGTGCCAAAGTATCACTCGATGGTCTCAAACAGAGACCAATCACTAGAACACTGCCATTCAGGACATTGTCCACTGAGGATGACGACGACGACGAAGACTTTGAACGCATCGAGCAGTTAAGCCCGTCGGCAGACTTAGATCACGATCACTCTCTCTGCGATTTCCACTGCGCTTCCCTTCATAGAGGGGGCGGACATATAAGCGTATGTATACTATGAGACACTATTATTACAACTGCTTATTCAACAATTGTGTTGACCCATAGGTTAACAGATCTGCCGCCACTTCGCCAGTTCAGGACGGAATCGGTTCAATACCTCTGTTGAGTGGTATCTCGTCTTCGGCCGAAAGCATTGATGCGATGAGAAGTACGGGAGCCATACCTAAGAAGCCGAGTGCAGCCAAAGGTCACGTGAGGTTTATGGACACCGAACCGACCAGAATTGAAATCTCTAACAATAACTCGGACTCAGAGACTGAGACCACGGAGAGGGAAGACGAACAGCTCTGCGAACGATATCTACTACTTGTGGATCAGTTATCATTGGAACAGAAAAGGCATTTGAATGTGAAGGACATCGGAATTATATTAGAGAGAACTGAGCTCTAAGATTGTAGACATCGATAAGTTGGAGAGAGAGAAGGAGAGCCAGGATTGCCATAATTGGGTGATTAAGGCCACGATTAGAGGGGATGTTCTGCGAGAAGTGGGCATTATATACAACGGCCACTACTATTGCATTGCCGAACATCCCGGCTATTTCTGAACTGTCGGCGCCTCTGCTCTTAGGTCTGACTTAAGAGCTGATCCGACGATAACTTTTAGATGACTTTTAGTCTGAAAAATAATTTTCTCATTAGAGATCGGCTGACGTTTTGGCACTGAAGGCAATCGTCAGTAACTGTTAGTCTTTAGTCTATTTTTACCGCAAAATTCGGGTATATTTTAGACAAAAACTCTTAAACTATATTTGAGAAGAAAAGCCATTGTTTTTGAGTGTTATATAAATCACGACTTAATCGATGGCTAATTGTGTGTCACATAAACTGCCAAATGAATGAATGAATGAAATAATAATTAATTGTTTAAATTATTTGCTAAACAAATTTACTTGATTTTAAAAAAGCAAAACTCACGACAAAACTATTATACAATATAAGCGCCAAATATTGTTGAGATTTAGGAATATAATTCTCAAACAATGATATTTAGAAAATTATTATTGAAATAATACATTTATTATGTTTTATTGACAACAAATCAATTAAATATTATAATAATTGTTGTTATTATTGGTGCTCTCAATGATCACTAAACTTTTTATATAAATGTAAATATTGTTAATTGAATTGACGCTCAAATGTTCCTCAATTTTGACATTATTTCGCTTCTAAAGTACTCTTTCTCTCCCATTCTCTCTCTCCAACTTATCGATGTCTACAATCTTAGAGCTCAA